TGAGCAAGAGGGAAGAGCATAAGGTGAGAAAAAAGAAATGTTAAGAAGTGGTAAAGCAATGAAAAAAGAGAGCAAATGAGAGAGTGGGGAGAGATGTTATCAACAATTTTGTTTGGAAATAAGAAAAAGTTTTGGAGTGGGATTAACAAGTTAAGGATGCCTAAAACAAATGATTTTGTCAGGTTAAAAAAATAGGAGAGGAGAATTAATCAAATGGAGAGTTAGAGGAATTGGGAAGATTGAGGAGTATTTTGAGGAACTGTTTAATGTTGAATGAAGATAGGATCTGTGAATTTGTGAAAAGGCAAGAAGAAATAACAACTTTTAGGAGTGAGGAAGAGCCAGTTGTGAGTGTGGGGAAGTTCGTGAGGCAGTAGGTAAAAAGAAAGGGGTAAGGCCTGGGATTGAGGGAAAAGGTGAAAGAATGGTTAAAAGCAGGTGGGGATATAGTTTTGAAAGGTTGGTGCTATTATTTTAATAACTGTATGGAAGAGGGTAAGTACCTTAGGGATAGTCAGAAGAGCATGCCATAGTATCCTTTGTATAAAGACAAGGGACAAAAAGAGGCAAAAAATATAGGTGGATAAGATCAGTTGAGTTCTAGGTAAGAAGGTAGGTAGACAGCAACCGCCCAGGAGGTATACCGTCCTGCCCAGTGATGTAAAACGAAAGCCTGTAATAGTTTTAACATGAAGGTAGGATTGCTGGTGTCTTTGTCCTGACTCATAAAAATGCAAGATTACAGGTAATTCTAGCTACTCTACATACACATAGGTCACACTAAACATACATGTTACAAGCAATATATACACACCCCTCTGGTTTTTTCCTTCTATTTTCTTTCCTAATTCTTGTACTAGTTTTAATTTCCCTCTTATCGCCATGGGGAAGTGGAACAGAAATACTTCCTCTGTAAAGCCATGCGTGTTGGTACGAGGCGACTAAAATGCCGTGAGCAAGTCTGGGCAGAAACCCCTTCTCCTGTATATATTACTAAATTTAAAAGGAGAAACTTATCCGTTTTTCCTTGTTGGGAGGGCCACCCCCACCTCAGTGGGATAACGGCTGGTACGTTGAAGAAGAAGAATTCTTTGAGTTCTATGTGTAGGGTTGGTAGACAAGCAAACCGCCCAGGGAGGTAACTACCCGCCTGCACCAAGTGAGTGTAAAACGAAGCCTTAATTCTATTACATGATAGTTAGGATGCTGGGTGACCCTTTTTACTGTCTCATAAACATGCAAGTTTCAGGTACATCTTGCAACTTCTACTACACTTAGGTCACACTACACATACATTATAAGCATATATATACATACCCCTCTGAGATTTCTCTATTTTTCTTTCTAGTCCTTGTTCATGTTTATTTCCTCTTCTCTCCATGGGGAAGTGTAACAGAATTCTGCCTCCGTAAGCCATGTGTGTCGTAAGAGGCGACTATAAATGCCGGGAGCAGGGCTAGTAAACCCCTTCCTCCTGTATAAATTACTAAATTAAAAGGAGAAACTTTCGTTTTTTCCTTTTGGGCCACCCGCCATCGTTGGGATATAACGGCGGCTACGATTGAAAGAAGAAGAAAGTCTGTGAGTATAACCTGGTAAAGTGATGGTAAAAGTTATTATTGAAAGAATTAAGAGAAAGACATAATAGGAAAGCAGATGAACAGGTAGGCTTTAGGAAAGGTAGGAGTGCGGACACAGGTGTTACAGTGAAACATAAAATGAACAGTATCTAGATAAGGCTAAAGAGGTTTTTTGTGCATTTTTGGAATTTGGAAAAGGTGTATGAATAGTGTGGATAGGGGGCAATGTGGCAGATGTTGCAGGTGTATGGTAAAGGAGTAGGTAACTGAAAGAGTGGCAGAGATTTTAACGAGGATAGAGAGGCTCACAATTGAGTAGTATGTACGAAAGAGAGATGAATTAATTCCCATAAATTAGGCCATTTAGACAAGGATGTGTGATGTCACCCGTGTTGTTTTAATATATTCATAGAAGGGTTGTAAGAAAGTAAATGCGAGGGTCATGGCAAGAGGTCGTGGATTTAAAAGATAAAGAAATCAACATACAGGGGATGTTGTCCAGTTGCTCTTTGCAGATGACACTGTGCTCTTGGGAGATTCCAGAAGAGAAGTTGCAGAGGTTTGGTGGATGATTTGGTAGGGGATGTAAAGAATAAAATTCAAAGTGAAAACAGGAAAGAGTAAGGTTATAGGATATCAGACAGGCAGGGAGAGAGTATGGAGGAGGTGAACTATTCAGAATATTTGGAGTGGACGTGTCAGCGATGGGACTTATGAAAGATGAGGTGAATCCCATAGAACTGATGAGGGGAAAGGTGAGAGTGCACTTAGGGTCATGTGGAGACAAAGAACTTTGTCTTGGAGGCAAAGAGGGGAAATATAGAGAGTATAGTTTTTTAACGCAACGCTCTTATATGGGTGTGAAGCATGGGTGATGAATGTTGCAGGAGGAGAAGGCTGGGGAGGGAGATGTCATGTTGAGGGCAATGTGGGGTGGGAATAAATGCAGAGAATTCGTAGTTTGGAATTTAGGGGGAGTGGGGGATTGCCAAAACGTTTGTCCAAGGGCTGAGGAAGGGTTGTTGAGGTGGTTCGGCATGTAAGAGAAGGGGCGAAACAGAATGCTCAAGGTGTTTCCCTTTTTGTAGGGAAGGGAAAGGGGGGGGTAGGGGGCGGCCTAGGAAAGGTTTGGGGGGGGGGGTAAAGGAGGTTTAGTGTACGAGGTCTTGGGCTTCCAGGGGATGCGTGAGGTGTTTGAAGGGTGAACGGAGACAAATGGTTTTTTAATACTGAGTGCGTTGGGGTGGAGCAAAGTAACATTTATGAAGGGATTCAGGAAACCGGCAGGCCCGGGCTTGAGTCCGGGGAGGGAATCATCCTGCACTCGAAGAGGGGTGTTAATGTTGCGTTTAAAACGTAGTGTAAAACACCCTTCTGGTAAGACAGTGATGGAGGGAATGATGGTAAAAAGTTTTCTTTTTCGGGCCACCCTGCCTTGGTGGGAAAGGCCAGTGGTTAATAATAAAAATAATAAAAATTTATCTTAACCTGATACTCAGGATGTCATAAGGATAAAACTGAAAGATTGTTGAATCTGGGAAAAATACTAGTTTGCAGGGAAGATTTTATTACAATGTTTTGTCCATTACTGAATCTCCCATCTCATTGCAAATCTACATCCTTACTCCACACACTGTGTGGAGAATGAAGGGAAAACAGAAATGAGTTTGGATGAATTTAACTCTCACCACTCACCAATCAAAGTCTCATGTGCCTAATCTATTCCCTATAATTGGATAAAAAGAACTTTATATACAACACACGAGACCTAATACTAAATGGTGAACAAACAACTTCTAGAACAAGAGATTTACTTGAGGATAATTTTTTAACACATTAGCCATTTCCCACCAAGGCCGAGTGATATGTTACCATAAAAGCACATTATTCAGATGTCAAAAACACTATTCCTACTTTCAAATACGTGTGAGAAAGAAAAATTTCATAGGATTTTATTGTACAGAGATCTTCTTTAGATATTTTTTTCAAGTGCATTTCAATGTTTCAGTGAGAAAATCACCATCATCAGGAAAGATTTACAGAATATGAGATTACAGTGTACTAGCCAAGATAAATATATTGCAAGGTCATTTTCCAGAAATGTTTCCTGATGCTGGTGACTGATTTGTCACTGAAACATTGAGATACACTTGAATAAATGTCTGAAGAAGAATTCTAGTTTCTCCCACCTTATATTATATTCTTATATTATATTTCTTCAAGCTCAATTATCTTTTCATTTATGTTACAGTGTTTGCTCTCTATAAATGAAAAAATCTGAAATTAACTGCCCAATGGACATACCTTTATACCTCTGATATACCTTTGATGAGTTTCGAGTCTTTCTACCCCCAGAGCCCGGCCATGGGCCAGGCTCATCTGGTGTTTGTCTGGAACAGGCACAGCAACAGAAGTTTTCAGACAACACAAGAAAAACCTCTCGCTCTCACTAATTAATCACCAGGAATAACTGAAGGCAAACCAATAGGATGCATGATGGTGGCAAAATTGCAACCTGATCAATATTATCCATTTCCAACAAGGATTAGGTATTCTTGTGAGTTAAGTGTACTAAAGCTCTCTCAATGGAAGTCTTGTATACAGCCTCTCCTCACTTAACGACGAAGTTCCGTTCCTAAGACCACGTCAGTAAACGAATTTGTCACTAAGTGAGGAGCATGTTATAATGGTAGTGGGTTTGTGTCAACCATCTTTGATATTGTTTTAATATCACCTTTGCACCATTTATAACATTTATATAATACATTTTCTGTATATTTTTTAAATGTTTATTACAGCCAGTGTACTGTATATTGTTAATAAAGACAACAGAGGATATCAGCCCAATATACATATCTAGGTATGCATACTGGGCAG